ATCAAAAAGCTTTCAGCGAGTTCAAAGGCACCTCGAAGTTATAAAATTGTCAGCATCAGTGCTTTCCCACTTCATTCTGATTAAGTTATGGTCCGTTTTACATCCTAATACTCCCCAGTGGAAGGGATATTGATTATGTGTATGGCTGCGAAACATAAATCTTCCACTCGCTGAGAACATAACTGTCGTTACAAACTTTACCTCCTCCAAACATGGCCATAGCATCCTTCTGACTGGATGTTAACTTAACATGTTTTATGTGAAAGATAAAATCAAATGTTACCGTTTCATTGTTCCGTTATCTGCTCTCCCACATAAATCTCATCCAAAACCGTTCAGTAAAACAAATGAATTTCACGAAGAGTGTTGAACAAATGATAGCCGAGGTGGTGTTTCACGGTGTCATCGCACAGATCGGCAAGAAAGCCTAGAGATCAAGTATAACTGCGTGTTTCTTGTAGCCTAGCTTAATCCAAGAATAATAAAGGACATTCAGGCAGGAGTGAGTGAGTGAGTGAGTATGGTTTAACACCGCTTTTGGCAATATTCCAGCAATATCACGGCGGGGGACACCAGAAATGGGCTTCACACATTGTACCCATGTCGGGAATCGAACCTGGGTCTTCGGCGTGACGAGCGAACGCTTTAACCACTAGGCTACCCGACCGCCCCTTCAGGCAGGAAGACATACCCATGGACACCGATTGCGCTTAGGATTCTGGCCTTAGTGGTGGACATGTGGAGGACATTTCCAAAATTTTGAGGCGTCAGTGACAAAGATTATGCATGATGTCATTCCCAAGTTTGTTCAGGTGAACACTTGAGGTATTACACTCAGTCTCGTTAGATACCATTTGATCGAAACGTGTGACTTGGTTTGTTTGTTGTTTTCCGCCGAACTCAGCAAAATGCCAGCTATATGGATCAGACAATCCAGTGATTGATACCATGAGCATCGATCCACGCAATTGGGATCGATGACATGCTTCAACCAAGTCAGCGAGCCTGGCCACCCGATCCCGTTAGTCGTCTTTTACGGCAAGCATAGTCGCCTTTTACGGTAAGAATGGGTTGCTGAAGACCTGTTCTACACCGGATCTTCACGGGTCACGAAACGTGTGAAGCGTCTATGGTTCTCCGACCGCCCACCACCCATTCACCCACTCTATTCGTCGGGGGCAGGTGTGTGTATGTGTAAACATTTCTAAATTGTTAAATACTTGTAGTTAGTATATCTACGCTGTCTACTTCAAATTTATAAACTTTCAAATAAGAAAACGTACACGGTGCAATGCTGGTGGGCGTATCTGAGCGCCAGCAGCACACAGACACTAGAAAGAGTCGAATAAATAGTATCTCTTGCTCATCTACACAAACAGCATGAACACGGACGAGGTATTTGTTGACGTTCAACTTACGATAAACGTATTCATTTACTTTTTCAGTGTTACATTTCAACTTTAAAATAGCAAATAATTAGCTAGTCTCAACGCAAGGATGATTCTCAAACGAAATCGGCATGGGCTAAACATTTGCCATATGTTTGGAAAGCATGTTTGGTTTAGACATGAACGTTTTACCGACGCAAGAAGTTCACCAGAACCACTTCCAGAATGTCACATATGTAATATTCATGACGGGTGGGCGGATATCTTTGGAGTGGTAGTTGATTTTACGATGGTTAGAATGGCATTTCAGTTACATAACGGAGTGTAAGCTTACTGTAGGAAGATGTGTTGTATATTTGTTGTTTAACGCTGTACTCGGCAATATTCCAGCAATATTACGGTGGGGGGTACCAGATATGGGCTTCACACATTGTACCCATAAGGGGAATCGAACCGAGGTCTTGGCGTGACCAGCAAACACTTTAACCACTGAGCTATACCATCGCCGCGAGACAGAAGGGTGTCATTCGCCCTGATGCCATATTTGGCACATAACATAACAGTTAACTAGTTACGGGTAGAATAGGTAATCAGCACCCCATGCTTGCCGAAGGCGACTATGTCAAAAACTGGATTGTCTGGTCCAGACTCGATTATTTACAGACCGCCTTCATATAGCTGGAATATTGCCGAGTGCGGCGTTAACAAAAAAACTGTTATATATGTAACCATAGTCAATCGATCTATGTCACTATGCATGACGAGGTAAACGAGTCCAAGTTAAACAAATGTTACAACGGTCATCAAAACATGACAGTGTTTGTTTCGGTAGGGTTGTACGTACCAAAAGACACTATGTGGTTAATACAACTATTGATGAGAACAAATGAATGCAGACACTGATGTAGCTTCCCCAGGGAGCTGAGACAGATTGGACACGCTTAGTACAAGTCGCGGCGAATAACCGTATAACTGTTGTGTTGGTGTGTTTATTACCTATATTTAGAATATATACTTATGTTGTGTCGCTTAGTGTGGAGAAAGTGCAGAAAAGCTGGGACGGAGATCGTGGCTTGGAGATTCAAAGTGTTTGAGTGATTGATTGGGTTGGGTTTTAAGCCGCTGGGTTGGTTGGTTGGTTGGTTTGTAGTTATTTAACACCGCACCCAGCAATATTCCAGCTATATGACGGCGGTCTGTAAATAATCGAGTCTGGACCCGACAATCCAGTTATTGATATCATGAGCATCGATCCACGCAATTTGGATACTATGACATGCATCAACCAAGTCAGCGATCCTGACCACCCGATCTTACGACAAGCATAGACGCCTTTTGCGGCAAGCATGGGTTGCTGAAGACCTATTCTATCCCGGATCTTCACGGGTCGAAAGCCCGAAGTGATAGGTCTCAGATGTTTACCAGTTTGGTGAAACCAACGTGCACGGGAATGGTGCTGACATTACTACAACATTTCAGAAGCGAACCAGAATTCGAACTCAAGAAAGTAGGTTTCTACAACACCAAAGGGACCCGAATTTCGATGCCTTTGGCAACTGGGCCACCCGTGTCCCTAAGGAGTTTTGGTCGGAGTTGTGATGTTCCAGCCATCATTATTACATTACAGCTAACAGGAAGATCTAACACGCGTTTAAAGTTTTCCTTCGATGTCCAGCTCATCCAATACACTCGATGGCAAATTAACACGCTCCTTTCTAACATTTACATGTTGTTCGCCCAAGGTCCCGTTCCTGTCCGCCATCATGCCATTAAGACACCACCGCTATCTGTCACACTCAGACCAACAAATGTTTACATCTTACCCCGACAGGCACCTGTATTTGCCGGCTCAGACCATGATACCTTCACGATGTATATACACCCTCCATTCAGGAGTCATCCTATCAACACAACCCTGTCGATCCCAACTAGCAGGCGACGATGGGGTAGTGAGTGAGTGAGTTGGGTTTAACGCCGATTTTAACATTATTCCAGTTATATCACGGCGTGTCAACTTAATGTGGGGTGCATGATGCACAGTTCTCAGACGTTTACCACTTCGGTGAAACCCACGAGCACGGTTATGGTGCTGACAAACCTAGAAACATAATCGGGGCGAACCGGGATTCGAACCCACAATCATAGGTTTCTGACGTGCCGAAGGGACGCAACTCTGCACAGCGAATCGCGGCGCCTTAGACAACTGGGCCACCGTGGCCCCCCGATGGGGGTAGTGTTGTGGTCAAAGCGTTGCTTAGTCCTGCAGATGTCCCCGGTTCGTGTCCCACTCAGGGTATGGTTAGAATATTATTAACACCCACATAAAACTAAACTGGTTGACCAGTTGTGTGCATGCACCTCTTCAAAAATAAGATCCAAATGTACCCATCACTACACATCCTCCTTAACCCCGATATCCTTAGGTTATCATCCGAAGTCCCCCTCCTTCATTTTCCCCCTCACCCCACTGTCCCACTGTCCCCCTCCCTCATCCCCCCCTCAACCCATCCCATTTTCCCCCCTCACCCCATCCCATTTACCCCCCTCCTACCTTCCACCTCCCTTTCCGGGCCATCCACTACATATATCCACACCCAGTCCGAACCATACTAAACATTCACAGAAGGTATATATACTCTTTTTAACACATACCCCGTCGCGTCTAAGCTCCATCGATAACCCTCCCTACCAACCCTTGTCCCACAAGCAACTTGCACTACCCCAACTCTCCCCCCGACATTAACAACACAAGATTCCTACTGGGTGGGAGTTCAAATGTCGTTCAAATCCGCCTGCAGCAGACGACGTAACAAATGGTGATTAATTGCCGTCATGCCTGCTCTTAACCAGAGAAATAATACCCGAGTTTGAATTGTTTAACTACACCCATAGTTAACCAGATCGACAAACTAATATTTTTGTATATCGGAAAATATCGACAGTGAAGAGACAGATTGAAATAGTGTTCCATTAGGGACAGAGACACGTGTTTGCGTCCAAAATTGATGGGCACGACGGTTACGTGGCATTGCGGTCATTCTGCACGGGGAATTGAAAACTGCGTGGGTTCTTTTAGGGGTAGGGTAATAAAGCGATGTAAATACGACTGACTGTCGTGGTGGCAAATGTTCTAAATACCAAACGGCTGCTTTCCAGCCTCCGCTCTTAAACAAATAGTCGTGGGCAATCTGTTCTAGCCTAGAACATGTCAGATGGGTTTCATTTAATTTCTCTCTGCCACGGTGAGCAAATGCACAACATGTGGCGATTTTCTGGTGGGCAAATACACGACGAAGAATAAACATGAATAAAAATCAAAGTAAATGCATTAGCACACTTCTTAATACCAAGCTACATACGCTGAACTCAATACGTACACGGTCAATAGCGAAAGCATGGCTTGACTAAATCATAGGCGTAAACATTAATAGCCAGGGTTATGAATGCGTCTTATGTCAATAGAGAAACAGCTTGACAATTTCCTGTATGCATTTTATTATAACAATTTCCCCAAAGCAGTGTCCTTTGTTGTGTGGCATGCGGCATCGTGATGAATGATGTGTTTTCACATCAGTTCTGTGTCACGGAAATGTGTAAGATGAATTGTCTTACCTCGATTGGTAGCTGTAAGCGTATCCTTCTGTCTCCTCGCAATAGAGGCTCACATGATCGCCAATGCATAAGTACTCGCCCATTCCCGCAGCTCTACTGTATCCATTAAGCTGTAAAGAAACAAAGGTAAGTCAACGCGATTCTATGGGACTTTGTATATCTACATATCATTTTGATCGCTGGTCTATAAACCAGCGCGTACAGCCGTTGAACACCGCGCTGACTAAATCGGCGAAACTGAGGCTCCGATCCTCACCTGGCGACCGTAGACGCAGCCCCCGGCCCCCTAGATGAATCTATCACGGGACACCGTTACAGGTAGTCAGTTACTGAGCGACACTCAGTATCAGGTTAGCGGAAACAGTTCACTGAAAAAACATTTATTTCATGTTTTTATCACTCGCGGATGTTGCCGAAGGTGCGGTTACGTTTGGTAAGGGGGTGATAACAGAGGCTGATTGTTTTCAACGGAGTTCAAATTTGGCGATTAATTTTGGAACGCGTGGGGATACGGTTCTTTGGGAGAATGTGATCTCTTGGTCGTGATCTAAGAGGTGGAGTGAACGAGTGAAGCGCTTCTCTCACTGAAACACAGGACAGACGGGCGAGCATTGCCCCAGGAGATGGATGGGCTACTTCAATGCACATCAGGTGTGGCTGAAATATGTGAGTGTGAGTGAGTTGGGTTTAACGCCGCTTTTAACAGTATTCAAGTTATATCGCGGCGTGTCAGCTTAATGTGGGAGGAAAGCCCGAAGTGATGCAGGTTTCAGACATTTACCACTTCGGTGAAACCCACAAGCACGGGTATGGTGCTGACAAACCTAGAAACATAATCGGGGCGAACCGGGAGTCGAACCCACAATCATAGGTTTCTGGCGTGCCCAAGGGACGGAACTCTGCACAGCGAATCGCGGCGCCTTAGACGACTGGGCCACCCGTGCCCCCGCTGAAATGTGTATTAATGAACGTACAGAACCCTCACCTCAATATATGATACAAGCAAAAAATATACAAAATGAAAGACATTAGAATACTGAGCCAATCCATGCGGAACTACGAGAGACTATTTTACATAAAATACAAGGAAATTAAAATAAAATTTAAATAAATTACTGGAACGGAACTGACACCGAGGAGCCTTGAGGTGACATGTTTGACTTGCTGAATATTTTTCACTTTACAGAATAATACAGGTTCCTGTTTTTGTCTAAAGACACTAATTCCGTTCCCCGGTATTGCAAGGTCACAATATGAGCTGAGATGTCTAGAGCTTCGGGAGCTTCTGAGTTTCTGGTATGATGTGAGTGTATCGGCAGCGTTGGGAAGTGAGTGCACTTCAACATAGGCAACGTTTAGGACTACGAGACTTGACTAAAGGCCAGTACTTAATTTTAACTAAAGGTATACATACATCTATCTCGTGAATCAGTAAATAAAAACAATTAAAGTATGCAGCTTGTTTCCATTCATACATGACACACAAGGATATTTCTTTATAAGCTGATGAAGCAGCTTTTCCGAAACAGAATATGGATAGAACGCTCTGTCTTTAAGACATGAGTGAGAGGGGTTTAACGCCGCGTTTAACAGTATTCCAATTATATCACGGCGTGTCAGCTTAATGTGGGAGGAAAGCCCGAAGTGATGCAGGTCTCATACGTTTACCACTTCGATGAAACCCACGAGCACGGGTATGGTGCTGACAAACCTAGAAACATAATTGGGGCGAACCGGGATTCGAACCCACAATCAAGGGACTCAACTCTGCACAGCGAACCGCGGCGCCTTAGACGACTGGGTCACCCGTGCCCCCCCTTAAGACATGAAATACATACATGGAGTTAACACATCCACCACCACCTCAAGTTCCTAAGTGGAACCTCGGTTATGCGGACAGATCTAATCCAACCAAAATTAACAGATGGTCCAGACGGTTGCGTACACCCGTGAATATCCGCGCTGGAATATTGCGGCGTTAAACAACAAACAAACAAACATCCTATTTCCAGTCTATCCACTGCAGTTTGTCAAAGCAGCCTTTTAACCCTGACACTTGTTAAAGGTAAGTTGTGACTAATTAAGTTATGACCTCGGAACAACGAGGTTCAAATGCACCTTGCACTTCATGAACACACGTTGATGAAGAAAGGTACACGAAGCCTCTCCGTGCATTCACAGATGTAAAAGAAGCTCATCGTCTTAGGTATCAATTAAACAGTATCCTTACCTCGGCACGGCCGTTCCGCCCATTTTGTTTAGGTGATTTTAGTCCAAATTTCATTCTGTGCAGTAGTTCTCACACAACCTTACACGACATGACCATCTGAACACTGTCCCCGGGTTGCGTGAAGCGAGTATTTATACTGAACGGGTGTCACTGACACTATGGGTGTATTCATACCCAAATTAGATGTATCAGTTGTATATCAGGGCATTTAGGTCGATTCAGCCTGCGGTTATTGTACTGGATAAGCGAAACCGGCTATTTATCAAAGGGGGACCAGTGAGGTGCCTACTACAAGGAAATTAACACAAAGGCACAACATGGGAACCAAATCCACGTGCCTTTGAAAACCGGTTTAAAGGCATACGTGTTGACTGGTCCTCGCTTAAGGCAACTCTGTTGTTTTTGGCACAATTACTTGCAGGTTCGTGTTGTTAAACGCCGCTTGTGTGCATTCATCCTCACACAGGTGCAAGAGCAATCGGATTAGGTCAAGATGTTATGTAATCTACATTGATTCGCCATTGTGTCATGACAATCACTGGGGTAATTGTCTCCCCGTTATGAGGGTGGTGTGGAGAGTCCAGTTGGGTTGAACAATGTACAACTTTAACACAGTGACGATAATGTTTTACATTACTATTTCGGACAACGAGCATAGGTCTTCTGCGTGAACGCATCGTCCACATGGCCACTATAAAACCATGAATAAGTAATATAATCTTGCATACACTAAGACCAGGTTCAGTGGGACATTTCAGCATTCTCGAAAACTAACCATGTCCAATCACTAAACATGTCAGATGCACGTGTAAAGAGTCTGTACTGAATTCAATGAGCCGTTTGGTGCCGATGCGCCAGCGAGCACCTCCGAATATTTCCTAATGAACGAAACGCACGCAGAGAGCGCTTTCCAGCGCCTCCGCGCTTACTTAAGGAGGCACGTCGAGGGACAAAGATGGCGGACTTGGGACAAATGCGGTCCCCGTGGACATTGTATTTTCAACATGGAACAACTTGTTAGACATACACGCACTCAGTGGTGAAGTTTAATACCACCACAGTGAATACATTTGTTGGAAGATTTGTCACTTGTTAAAACCCGAATTGTTTTGTGTTTTAGCTGCATTTGAAGCCCCTCGCAGCACGGAGTATTTTTCCTTGCAACCCATGTTAATTTCAGTACAACAAACCCTTTTCATGCGTCTGTTTGTGCACACGATACATGCATAATAAAATTTGGTATGAAGTTGCAGTTTTGTCCCAATAACACTCATCTGATTTCCTTTTGTAAACAATTGACGTATATTATTATTATGCGATATAAAGCTTCATTTGTCGAAACTCAAAGAAAACAAATTCAGATATTTTCATAGGTGTCTGTCTTCCCTCAAATAAATCTAAAACATCGCGATTTGTTGTTTTTTACTGCAGTCTACAATATTCCAGCAGCAATATCAGGGCGGCCTGTAAATAATCGATTTTGTTGAAATTTACAGAGGGCCCAGACACTCGGTTGCGTACACCCGTGAATATCCGCGCTGGAATACTGCTGCGTTAAACAACAAACAGTCACGTGACCGGTTCTAGTCCATCCCATTTCCAGTCTATCCACTGCAGTTTGTCCAAGCAGCTTTTTTAACCCTGACACTTGTTATAGGTAAGTTGTGACTAATTAAGTAATGACCTCGGACTAACGAGGTTCAAATGCACCTTGCACTTCGCGAACACGTTGATGAAGAAAGGTACACGTTGATGAAGAAAGGTACACGAAGCCTCTCCGTGCATTTACAGATGTAAAAGACGCTCATCTTATTAGGTGTCATTTAAACAGTATCCTTACCTCGGTACGGCATTTCCCCCGTAATTGTTTAGGTGATTTTAGTCCAAATATCATTCTGTGCAGCGAGTTTTTACACAACCTTACACGACATGATCATCTGAGCACTGTCCCCGGTTACGTCAAGCGAGTATTAATACTGAACGGGTGTCCCTGACACTAAAACACATCTGTGACGTCATTCTATTGTTTGAACGCTCCATTATTTTTCCGGAATGGATAATTGTTTGTCAACTATACATTATCTTGAACCAACATTTAAATTAATTGCCACTTGGAATTGACGGAACTATTATTACCATATATTGACAAATGAATAATTTAATATTTTTCAGAAAACATGTGTCGCCAGCGGGGTTCGAAACTGTATCGTTTGATTTGAGAACGTGTCAACCTCAACTACGGCAGCACATGATTGTATGGTGTGAAATTAACTATTAAATATTTCAATAATTATGCATTATGTTTAAAAGCTCAAAATAATATGCATATAATTTGTGTTAGAGCAGGTACCTACAACGATGTTCATATTTAAAGCAATTCGATAAACCTTTGACGAGAAATAAACAAATCAGGTAATATATATATTTATCCTTGTTCGGGGCTCTATATTGCCTATTATTCCCGTCAGCATGTATAAACAATGTGCAAGCGATTGATAAATACTAGTTTAGGACCCAACGAAATTATGAAGAGCCCTGTACCATGCATTGTAAAAGTCAGCTCGCGACGGAGCTTGGCGCACGTGCAACAGCAGCAGAGAACGCATCTCGTGCATCACGCAAGGGCGACTCACGCAGTATAAATACAGCCAACAAAGAGTTCTGGTTTATTTTTCAACAGAATATTTTGCCAAAGTGTAAAAGTAGGGATGAGTTTTAAGTAGGGGAATATCTTCGTAACTCTCCATTCCTTAAAAATAATGGGCCTCTGCTTATGTTCAATTTTGCTAAAATCAGTCTGTAACGCCATTTTGAAAACCGCGCCCTCTTCCAGCGGCAGTTGACACATCGTTCGATTGCACCCGAACGTCCACGGAGAGC